CGCTGTTGTTTTTAAGACTCTTGGGGGGTTTACACAGTACTACTAAACTATATCCCACTTTAGTATCGAATTTTGTCTCTGAATGTGATTTCTGCTTAAATCTTTTTTTTTTAAAGGGGTTTACAGAATTGGCCACTGGTGTGAAGTACAGCATTTATCTGTGTCAGTGTAGTGGTTTTCAGCTGACTTTTTTTGGAATTATTAAGGTAACACATGCTTCATTAGTAAACTAAAACTAGCAGAATTTTCCGCTCAGTACAAATCTTCAGCTCCATACCATTATTATTCCCCCTATGATTCCTTGGTTGCTGCTCTGAAGGCATGTTAGCCCATATCTGGTGAAAATGTCTTGTAGTTTAACATTTTTGGATACACATTTATTATTTATTTATTTCAGGTACTTATATAGCGCCATCAATTTACGCAGCACTTTACATATATATTGTACATTCACATCAGTCCCTAACCCTCAAGGAGCGTACAATCTAAGGTCCCTAACTTGCATTCATTCATTCATACACATACTAGGGCCAATTTAGACAGGAGCCAACTCGCCTACCAGCATGTCTTTTGGAGTCTGGGAGGAAACCGGAGTACCCAGAGGAAACCCACGCAGGCACAGGGAGAACATGCAAACTCCAGGCAGGTGGTGCTGTGGTTGGGATTCGAACCAATGACCCTAGTACTGCCAGGCGGAAGTGCTAACCATTTAGCCACTGTGCTGCCCGTTTATCAATTCCTATACACAATGACTGAGGTATCCTATCACATAGACCCATATTATTATTATTATTATACAGGATTTATATAGCACCAACAGTTTGCATACGAGTTCTTAGTGAATAGAAGACAGGTTGGCTGTAGTACAATCCAGTTCCGGCTTGTCACATATATTCTTACGGCAGCGACAAGTGTAATAGGTCGGGCCTGGCAAACTTCTGTCCTCCTAGTTGTTGAAGTTTAACATAAAATATACGAAACAATGCCCTTTAAAATACTTTCAGCAATCCAGAATGACTCCTTGCCCAAATTTAAAAAAAAAAATGTCCATGGGTTTGCTGATTACCTGCCCCCCAATTTTCACATTGACTTCTTGACGGTGTAACCTATAGAGATTGGACACTACATAGCTATGAAAACTGCACATTTCTGAGTCACCCTGCCCTTATCTTGGGGTCGCCTCTGTCTGGGCCCTTGCAGAGCAGCCCCTGCATACCCAATGCCTCTGCTTTTTCCCCATAACCTATGTGCACATATCTAGATTCATACGCCCCATCCCCCTCCCTGTAAGTGTACAATCCAAACGCACACGTTCTTGCGTGAAAAATGGCTGTGTGTATAAGTGGGTGCTGCAGCGACCGTGGCTGGAACCGAACAGAATCAGCAAGGGAAAATGTCACCAGCACACCAAGGATCACCAATATGAGGTCAAAAGTTTTAGTGAACGATCACATAGTTACAGCAAGGCAACGTTTCGGAGTCTCGCAGGACCCCTTCATCAGGCATGGTCACATGTCTGATGAAGGGGTCCTGCGAGACTCCGAAATGTTGCCTTGCTGTAACTATGTGATCATTCATTAAAACTTTAAGCCCCATATTGGTGATCCTCGGTGTGCTGGTGACATTTTCCCTTGCCCATCCCCTTCCCTCACACTTCACTTTCCTAGTTTTAGCTTACCACAAATGTGCCAGTTATTTTTTTCTAGTTATAGCATTATCCTTGCTATTACTTTTCAGGCACAAAAATCAAATTCTACATGATTGTAATACGATTTATACTGGGCCAGCATGATAACTGTAACATTTTTCTCCTTTGTTTTTCACCATTGTACTGTTACGATATGTTGTAAGACTCAATAAAAACCTATTAAGCAAATAGAAAAAAAAAATACCGGTAGCTGTCTTCACAGCCCGAGCATCTTTATCCACTTGTCGACTGCCCACCTGCAGTGTATGGATGGGCAGCCGCTGTAGGCAAAGCAACTTACAATGCTACCTACTTCCAGGTTTAGGGTGTGAGCATGCATGCCCCCACCCGGCTCCTGCTGTGATTGTACACAGCAGGAGCCTTTCATCAAGTCCTGACCTATGTTTAATGGCCATGACCTGTTGATCAGTTGTGTACAGCCCAGAGCTCTGTGTCAGTAATGTTCACTGGTCACTGTATTAATGTCACTGGTGAAGTCAGTTGTCAGATTGCCCGCCGCACTATTGAAGTCCCATTATAAGTCTCTGATCACCGCCATTAGTAGTATATAAAATAAATACAAATTCCATTATATATATCATAGTTTGTAGGCGCTATAACTTTCACGCAAACTAATCAATATACAGTTATTGGGATCAAAAAGATGTAGCAGAATACAGTTAGGCCAAAATTTATGACGAAATTTGATTTTCAAAATGTTTTAATTGGATATGTTTTATAGCAGAAAATAAAAAATATTGTGGTTTTTTTTTTCATTTCAAAATTTTCGGTTATATCGATTTTTTTTTTTGTTTTATATTGCAAAAAATAAAACAAAATAGTGGTGATTAAATACCACCAAAAGAAAGCTCTATTTGTGTGCAAAAAATGCTATCAATTTATTTTGGGTACAGTGTTGCATGACCATGCAATTACCAGTTAAAGTATTCAATAGTAAAAAATGGCCTGGTCATGAAGAGGGTAAAATCTTCCAGAGCTGAAGTGGCTTTTCAGACTAATTCAAGAAAAGCATCCTTTGATCCATGTAAAATATAAGATCCTGTATCTTGTCATTTCAGATTTACTTTTTAATTTCTGTATTTCTGAGCTTCTGTTGTGAAATTTGAAAATGAAATGCTCCACAGTACCTGCAGCTACATAGAGCAGTGAGGGTTTCTTTAAAGCTCTTTTACTACTTGTTAAGAGTATGTAAATAATCGAATGTCCATAGTCTGAGCACAGGTGTACCTTAAAGCGGAGTTCCAGTGAAAATAAAAAAAAAATAAAAGTCAGCAGCTACAAAAGCTGTAGCTGTTGACTTTTAAAAAATGGACACTTACCTGTCCCTCAATCCCGCGATGTGTCCCCGCAGCCCATTTCACTGGCTGTCCGGTGTTCATGGCGCCGGCATCTTCAGTGTGGGCACCTGACTGTGACAGCTTGCGGCTTTACAGCTGGGTGCACACTGCGCATGCGCGAGAAGCGCTGCACATTGTGAATGGTCCCATAGTCTTCTGGGTTATGTCACATGTCCCAGAAGACTAAAGGGAAAGAGGGGAGGAGAACAACTTCTGCTTCCAATTCCCTAGGCGACTACAGCGGAAGTGGGAGCGGGTACCTGTCTATTTCGGGTGCCTGCTCCCCAAAAGTGCCAATCCTTAACGGGGAGCAGGAGACCAGTCCTTAAAGTGGAACTTCCCCTTTTGGGTGCAGCTCTGCTTTAAAGAATTCAGCAGAAGTGGTCTAGGTTGCCTAAAGCAACAAAGCAGATTTCAGCTTTTACATGTTTTACTGTAGATTAGATATTGTAAGCAAATAATATATTATGATGGGTAATTAAACTGTGTTTTTGGAATAATGTACATGTACATATATTAATGCTCCTCAACAGTGTGAGTCTAGAGTAAATGTCCACATTCTAAGCACATGTGCATTCTAAATAGCTCCTCAATGATTCAAGTTTAATATCATTATTCGATCAGTTTCTGTTTTGTAGCTGCCTATTCCTGCCTGTTCCTTGGGTGATTTCCCTGATCCAGCAGGGCATTGGGCCCCCAAGAATTCCAGCACTGATCACTTAGGGCATTGGTTCTCAACCTTCCTAATGCCGCAACCCTTTAATACAGTTCCTCATGTTGTGGTGACCCCCAACCATAAAATTATTTACCCAGTAATTATAATTCATGAAGTGTCGTTTTACCTCCAATACTGCTGCTTTCAACACAGTAGCTGCTTTCAACACAGTAGCTGCTTTCTACAAAGTAGCTGCTTTCTACACAATAGCTGCTTTCAACACAGCAGCTGTTTTCTGCACAGTAGCTGCTTTCTACACAGTAGCTGCTTTCAACACAGCAGCTGCTTTCTGCACAGTAGCTGCTTTCAACAGAGTAGCTGCTTTCAACACAGCAGCTGCTTTCTGCACAGTAGCTGCTGTTTACACATCGGAAATATATTTCCGATAGCCTTAGGTGACCCCTGTGAAAGGGTCGTTCGACCCCCAAAGGGGTCACGACCCACAGGTTGAGAACCACTGACTTAGGGGATTCCTGCGTGGCCACCCAGCCTGGCCTAACAAGTATGCCCAGGAGTCCTCTTATACCTGTTACAGGCTTAGCTGGCAATGAACAAATGAACAGCTGTGACCCCAATATAGAGGGCTGTTTTTTAGGGCAGGTCCCCATATAGGTTAGAGGAAGAAGCAGTTCATGCACAAAGGCTGTTTTTGAGGATTTACTAAAATAATAGAAGCAAGGTGCAGGTAATGGGTGGTGGTACACCCCTTAATGTTCCAGTTTGTAGCAAATTATGAACTATCCATGTAATTCAAAGATAACAGAGTCCAGACAGCAGATAGATGAGAAGTTCATACTTACAGAATGCCCCAGAGTCTGGCATCCCACCAAAGGGAATACGAGTAGTCCAATTGTGTATAATTCCTCCGGCTACCTCCAGCTTCTCCCCTAAGGGGAAGATGCGCGTTATATGCTTTCTTGCCTACATGCTGGTCTACCCACAGGAGAAACCGGTTACCATTCTACTTGCGGTAACTACCTGTACAAACCCCAGGAACCTCTCTGCCTTCCTACTATATCCTTACCCATGACCTTCTCCTAGTACGGTGCCTAAGTCAAATCTCACGCAGTCTATTGGGGCATCTAGTAGCCAACCATGGGTGATACCACATGCCCTACCCTACATGCCTATGCTGTATATATGTTTTAGGTCAGTATAACTGGCCATTGACGCCAGAATGTTTTAGGACTGTGCTTGAATGTACATAGATTCATTATCTTCCTTGTTTTCTTTGTTCTAGTCAGAGGCTGAGTGTGAACGGACAGAACGAGATGCTTTGAAATTTGCAGAGGAGATGAATGCGGAATATTGGTCTGTCTCTGCCAAAACGGGTAACTATAACAACTGTCAGAAATCAATAGCAATTCCAATGCATCAAACAGAAAAAAACAACACATACCCAGGGCAAGGAACATCAAAATGACCATGGGAAAAATTGTGTAATTTTTTTGTTTCTTTTTTTAGGTGAGCATGTAAAGGATTTCTTTTTTCGGGTGGCAGCTCTGGCCTTTGAACAGTCCATGAAAAGGGAGCTGGAGAAGAGCAAACATATCACAGCACAGATTGGAGCTGGCAGTCTTATACGTATGTATAACCGGTCCTGCATTTTATACTGTGATTCTGTTTAGGCCAGCATTTTAAATCAGGGGAAAATCAGCATAGTTCATATAGATTCATAGATCTCTTATAGGTTAGAAGAGAAGAATGAGTTATTTGCTTCCCTGTATACTGGGTGCTGATATACGATAATGTCACCTGAGGCTCCCAATGACTCGTTTGCTTCCTTTGCATTACAATATGTTAATACTAAATCAGGACCTTATGGGAGTGAGCCAATCACATGATCAGGAAATGAGATTTCTTGGGGCGTTTTGTACACAAAACGGTACAGAACTCATGTAATATTGCCATGGCAGCAGACAAGCAGCATGTCAATTTTTTTGACATCTACAGAAAATTATAGTTGGCTGTAAATTGAAATGGGAGGATAATTTTTAATAAATGACTTGTATGTCAATTACAGTATATTTAGGGCATATAATATATTTAGAAGTGGAATTTTCTTCAGTATTGTTATACCTGCCAAGGTGCATTTTTAACTTCCATTTATTATATTATCCCTTATAAATTGCCAGAAAATGTGTTGCTAAACTGTGATACACAATTGAGCTTCAACCTATGGGGATCATTCATATTAATGTATTTGCCATGGAAGCAGACAAGGAACATGTCAATTTTTTTGACATCTACAGAAAATTATAGTTGGCCGTAAATTGAAATGGGAGGATCATTTTTAATAAATGACTTGCATGTCAATTACAGTATATTTAAGGGCATATAATATATTTCAAAGTGGAATTTTCTTCAATACTGTTATACCTGCCAAGGTGCATTTTTAACTTCCATTTATTATATTATCTCTTATAAATAGCCAGAAAATGTGTTGCTCAGCTGTGATACACAAGTGAGCTTTGACGTATGGGGATCATTCATATTAATGTATTTGCCTGCGTCTGGGCTGCCCATAGTTGGGGTCATTAATGCATCTTATTATTCATGTTCTGTTAGGTTACTTCTGTAACAAAGATACAGGCTGAGCAGAGTTGACATATCTCTTTTTTTACCCCTTTCTAGAACTTGAAGGAAATTCACCTGAGAAAAGGGAAAATGATTCCCAGCCTAACGTGAACTGTTGTTAGATTATGACTGCCTAAAGAGCTCACCACTTAATACTGTGCAGCTCTTATTGCCACCGGCCGTGTCCAGGCAGCACAGCAAACCACATGAGTTTCCTCTAAATTGTGACCAAACAATGAAGCTCAAATCCCTTCTTGGGCTTTTATAGACAACGACAAAACATCTCGAAGCCTGCACTACATTAAGATTTAAGATTTGTCTAGCCTGCAGCACAGCATTAATGTGCTCATTGCATCAGGGCCGCTCACCACCATCCCTGGCCAATTTCTGCATCAGCAAGCACAAATGTATAATCTTACATTATGCAGCTTAGATAAAAAAAGGGGGCAATAAATAAAAATATAACTGGTGTCTAAAAAAAAATGCCAAAACCTACCATTTATTGTCTTACATGCATTTTGGAATTGTATGTAGCTGTTCTCATTTCTAAAAATAATAATTATGACATGAAAAGGTAACTGTTATTATGGTAAGGTCTGAATTTCTGCATTTCCAACGAACGGTGGCATAGGATGGCGGGGCTGCAGGCAGGCACACAGCCACCTATGCATTAGTGTTCATTTACTAAAAGAGTAGAGCATGTTCACTTTACAAAGGGAATTTTCACTTAGCTGAGTGAATAAGGTGAAGCTTTGCTGACCTCAATAATCCAATTATGTGTAAGCAAAAATCCTTTTTTATTTTTTTCCTGCACGTGATTGGCCATTCTTTCCAATTCTTTCCAAAGTGAATTTTTACCATATTTACAAAGCTAAGCGAACAATCCCTAAGTAAATTTTTCTTGCAATTTCTCCTTCAGTAAATCACCCCCATTATGTTGCAGACTGTCAGTAGACATTTTTGTGAGTAAAAAGTATTCCAGTTTCCACAGCTATTAGATTTTTGTTGATTGAATAGTGATATGTGTACTTACAGTACACTTAAAGTGTATGTTCACCTAGCACGTCATATTCCTGATGTGTCTGTTGTACCACGTACTTGTATTAAAAAGTATCCTGTTCTCTTTGTATTGCTTCTTTGTGTGAAATACTTGGTGTTCCTGCCAGTCTCCCTGCTTTCCTGTGTCAAACTGCCCACACTAGGCATAGAAGCACATTTCCCAGCATTGTCATTTATCTGGCTAGCTGACTGGATCCCTTAGAAAAAAAAGGTATTTTTATATATATATATATACAATATACTATTGCCAAAAGTATTGGGACGCCTGCCTTTACAGACACATGAACTTTAATGGCATCCCAGTCTTAGTCCGTAGGGTTCAATATTGAGTTGGCCCACCCTTTGCAGCTATAACAGCTTCAACTCTTCTGGGAAGTCTGTCCACAAGGTTCAGGAGTGTGTCTATGGGAATGTTTGACCATTCTTCCATAAGCACATTTGTGAGGTCAGACAACTGATGTCAGACAAGAAGTCCTGGCTCACAGTCTCCGCTCTAATCCACCCCAAAGGTGTTCTGTCGAACTGAGGTGCAGGCCAGTCAAGTTCCTCCACCCCAAACTCACTCATCCATGTCTTTATGGATCTTGCTTTGTGCACTGGTGCGCAGTCATGTTGGAACAGAAAGGGGCCATCCCCAAACTGTTCCCACAAAGTAGGGAGCATGAAATTGTCCAAAATGTCTTGGTATGCTGATGCCTTAAGAGTTCCCTTCACTGGAACTAAGAGGCCAAGCCCAACCCCTGAAAAACAACCCCACACCATAATCCCCCTCCACCAAACTTTACACCAGGGGCGGACTGACCATTTGGAAACTCGGGCACTGCCCGAGGGCCCAGGGTCATTAGGGGGCCCCATGAGATGCCCCTGGTACCTTTTTCATAGGCTTTTTTGAGTTTGGGCAAGGACACAAGGGCCCCATGATCCCCTATTGCCCGGAGGCCCAATGAGTTGTCAGTCCGCCCCTGCTTTACACTTGGCACAATGCAGTCAGGCAAGTACCATTCACCTGGCAACTGCCAAACCCAGACACATCCATCAGATTGCCAGACAGAGAAGCATGATTTGTCACTCCAGAGAACACATCTCCACTGCTCTAGATTCCAGTGGCGGCGTGCTTTACACCACTGAATCCAACGCTTTGCATTGCACTTGGTAATGTAAGGCTTGGATGCAGCTGCTCGGCCATGGAAACCCATTCCATGAAGCTCTCTACACACTGTTGTTGTGCCAATCTAAAGGCCCCACAAAGTTTGGAGGTCTTTAGCTATTGACTCTGCAGACAGTGGCGACTTCTGCGCACTGTGCGCTTCAGCATGCGCTGACCCCGCTTTTTGCTGTTTTTTCCAGTTGCTTCCACTTTGTTATAATACCACTAACATTTGACCACAGAATATTTAGTAGCAAGGAAATTTCACAGATGGACTTATTACACAGGTGACAGCCTATCACGGTACCACGCTTGAATTCACTGAACTCCTGAGAGTGACCCATTCTTTCACAAATGTTTGTAGAAGCAGTCTGCATGCCTAGGTGCTTGATTTTATACACCTGTGGCCATGGAAGTAATTGGAACACCTGAATCCAATGATTTGGAGGAGTGTCCCAATAGTTTTGGCAATAGTGTGTGTTTGTGTGTGTGTGTGTGTGTGTGTGTGTGTGTGTGTGTGTGTATATATATATATATATATACACACACTCACACCCACACAGAAAAATGTTTACCTTGCACTTCTATTTAATGGAATTTGGAATTGGTTGTTTTACAAGGTGAGGGTTCACATATACTTTAAGCTGAACGAAAGAAATATGTCAATTCCCTGATTCAAACTAAACAGAGTGGATGGAAGAATCTTTCCTGGTGGCTATTGTATTTTGAAAGTCAGCACTTGTGGTTGCCTGATCAGATGCATCCCAACATGCCAATAATTTTCTGCCCAGCACTTTCAATTATCATGTCAAAGGATGTTGAAGAGGATGCCAATACGGCCACCATTTTCTCTGGTTTACCAGGAACTGGCCAAAATTCATGTAGTGTATGGCTAGCTACAGGCGGCACAGTGGCTTAGTGTTTAGCACATCTGCCATGCAGTAAATGGGTCATGGGTTCAATTCCCAACCATGGCACCTCCTGTATGGAGTTTGCATGTTCTCCCTGTGCTCCTGTCTAAATTGTCCTAGTTTCATCCCTGGCCATGTGGGATCTCCTGCATGGTAGGGGTTGGGGAAAGACCTGGCAACCTACCCTGTAAAATAATTGCTAAGAAAATTCATGGAAAAGTCGCTTACGAGTGACGGTCCATGCAATCGCCAAGGGTCGGATATGACTGAGTGGATAGATAGATGGCTAGCTATAAGCCAGCCATACATGGATCAAAATTCTGCCGGTTCAGCAGGACCGGCCAAGATTTGATCCATGTATGGGAAGGCTGATTGTACCTAAGTCGATCCATTGATTGACTTGGGTACTGCCAGCCAGGGGCAGACTGACCATTTGGAAACTCTGGCACTGCCTGAGGGCCCGGGGTCAGTAGGGGGCCCCATGAAATGCCCCTGGTACCGTTTTCATAGGCTTTTTTGAGTTTGGGCAAGGACACAGGGGCCCCATGATCCCCTATTGCCCGGGGGCCCCATGAGTTGTCAGTCCGCCCCTGCTGCCAGCCTTTCTGATTTTTTCCATACAACTACTGCTGGCAGCTATAGCCGCTAGCAGTAATTATTGTGTTCTGCCAGCCAGGAAGGCTCCCCACTACCCTGCACCCCTCCACTGCTGGGAGAACACAATAGCACAATAGTGCTGCGGGTGGCAGTCATTGGGTGAATCAAGCATAAATCAAATCATCAATATCCTGCCTTACTCTGGAGTCATAAAGCCAGAACTAAACTACTAGCAGATTAGAACAAATGTTAGCTCTGCAATTCGAATATTTGTTTTTTTACCAACACCAAGTGGGCAAATGGTTTTTCAGCTTCATTGCCCCCAGCCTTAGCATGTCTTTTGTGTGATGTCTGGTATTGTTATTATAATATTAAGGCTAGCCTGTTGACTGGGATAGGTGGGAGAGGCATGAGCCAATTGGCCCATGGAGCAGGAAATTTAAATTCAGCCCTGATTATACACAGTGCCGTCTTTTTCCACTAGTATTTTTCACTGCCGTATGTATGTGCCATCATTAGACAGTATGTTACTACAGCGGTAGAGACTGTTCACTTTGCAAAGTAAATGTTCACTGAGCTTAGTGAAAAGGGCGGTATAGCAAATACCCAGACATGCACAAGAAAAATGGAAAATAAAAATTGAGGGTTTTTTGGATGATTGATGTGAACACAGCTTCACCCTAATTGCAAAGCTTAGTAAACATTCATTTTGAAAAGTAAACATTCACTCTGTTAGGAGGAACAGTCTCTACTGTAGTAAATTATCACCCTTGTGCCTGGTAGAAATTGAATTTGACAGGTACACCAACATACGTGAATGCAGGAGAGGATCTGGGGACTGAATGTATAGGTCGATACAAAGGGCATCAAGATCTGTTACTTTTAACAGATCAATAAAAACCATTAGAAAAGAAAGACCAAGGGCAGTGCTTTTCGCAGGTCATTTTGTGTTGTTCTACACGCACGTGTTTTCACCGCATTTTGCGTTTTTGTTCAGCTTTTTTTTTTTTTTTTTTAAAGTGGATTTTTTTTTGTTGCTGGGCAGAATAAAAATGCGGCAAAAACGCACTAACATGCATTTCAGCAGATTCTCCATTGAAATCTATTGTAGCAAAAACGCTGCTTTTTGCTTTTCAAAAAGTCCAAAAATGCAGCAGCTCAAAAAAGCATAGATGTGAATATGTCCCATGGTAAACCATGTTAAATGGATTGTAGTGCGTTTCTGCAAAAAGCAAAATATACTAAAAAACGCATTGGCGTGAACAGAGCCTAAAGATCCCTATATATGTTTTATTTTCATTCTGCTAGTGGGCGGAATGAAAAAAAAAAAACACAGTTTCTTCCATCCACATTGTTTGGGTGGACGGAGTCTGCTAGTTTTTAACACTCGGTCCACTAGCTGAATTTAAAAAAAAAAAAAAAAAAGGAGTATGGCTGGCTTTACATTGTGTAAACTGGCATTTGGGCAGCACAGTGGCTAAATGGTTAGCACTTCCGCCTGGCAGTACTAGGCTCGGTTCAAATCCCAACCACAGCACCACCTGCCTGGAGTTTGCATGTTCTCCCTGTGCCTGTGAGGGTTTCCTCTGGGTACTCCGGTGTCCTCCCACACTCCAAAGACATGCTGGTAGGTTAATTGGATCCTGTCTAAATTGGCCCTTGTATATGAATGTGAGTTAGGGACCTTAGATTGTACATCCCTTGAGAGTTAGGGACTGATGTGAATGTACAATATATATGTAAAGCGCTGCGTAAATTGACGGCGCTATATAAGTACCTGAAATAAATAAATAAATAAATTCACAAGTGTGTGAATTTGGTCTTTCTGCCTTTTGTTTGGACTTATACAGTCAGTTCACAGATCCTCTCCTGCATTCAATTATGCTGGAGTACCTGTCAAGTTCAACTTCTACCAGGTAAAAGGGCGATAATGTACTAAAGGAGTAGAGATTGTTTCTCTTAGGAAAATTGAATCGTCGCTGCTAGGACTTTATATTTTGACAGTAGTGGCTGCAGATAATTTGCTTAATCCACTGATCAAGGAAAATTTTCCAACTTATCCCTTTGACAGAAATCAATCAAACGATTGATTTTTGTCTAGCGGGGGAGGGCCACACACTGAAACCCTGCTGATACGGATGAATTTCAAACAGTGTATGGCCAACTTAAAGTGGTTGTAAAGGCTGAAGGTTTTTATCTAATGCATGAAGGTAAAAAACCTTCTGTGTGCAGCAGTGCCCCCAGCCCCCTCAATATAATACCTGAGCCCCATGGCGATCCAGTGATGTGAATGACAGCCTCGGCTGTCCCTGGTCTCTGCCTCCTCATTGGCCGACACAGCCAGCAGGACCAATTGGCTCCCGCTGCTGTCAATCAGAGCCAGTCACCCAATGAAGAAAGAGAGGAGGCAGGGCCAAGCCGCGGCTCCGTTTGTGAATGAACACACGGAGCAGCGGGTGATGCCATATCAAGCTGCTTGCTATGGGGGCACCCGACAGGAAGGAGGGGCCAGGAGAGCCTGCGGGGGGACCTGAGAAGAGGAGGATCCAGGATGCTCTATGCAAAACCACTGGTAAGTATAGACATGTTTATTATTTTATGAAAAAAAGTTTGGCATAGTTGTGGCCGGCGCAGACCAGCAAGGCCCATGAACTCTTGTAGGGATGCCGTGTTTTCAGTAGTACTGGCAGCACATGCAGAGACTCCCGCTTTCTAGCACCAGCCAAGTAAGTGCTACATGACCAGATCTAAGGGGGTGCTGGAGTGGGCTGCACCCCCAAGATCTCAATTGCGTTCCTCCCAAAGTCCTGTGCCCTCAAACCCCCCCTATCTCTGACACTGCCTGGCTGTCTCCCATCTCTGCTCTGTACACACACAACCTGAACACACAGCACATGGTTGAAATCTGATCATCCAACTTTTCTGCTCATCAGCTATCCTTAGGTCCCATTTACACTTCGTGATTTTGAATCACTGCAATCCTGCCTGCAATTCCAAATCACACTGCAATCATGGCAAAATACACCATGCAAAGCTTGCCGTGCAAAAAGGAGCAGGAGCTTCTTTTGGGCAACAACTTCATGCAATACGTTTTGCCCGTTGATTGTGTTGTTTGACAATCGCGGCAAAATTGTACCGCGTTTGAGGTGCCATTGGAATGAATGGCACCCAAACACGTGGTGTATTTTACCACAATTGCAGTGCGATTTAAAATCATGGATAGAATCGCTGTGATTTTGCCCAGGGGCGTCCCTAGGGTTGGTGTCACCCGGTGTGGTAACACTTGCGACACCCCCTCCGACGATCCCCACAGAAAGGATCGGATCTGTGGATTGAGCATAATGGATCGGACTCCGATCCATTATGCTCAATCCGCAGATCCAATCCATCCTGCGGGGATCCAATCCATCCTGCGGGGATCGTAGGCCTACTGTACAACTTACCTTTTCGTGGAGCGGGTCTGGTGTCACCCTGTGCGGAAGGTGTCACCCGGTACAGCACGCATCCCCCGCACCTAACTAGGGACGCCACTGATTTTGCCCATGATTCAAAACCGTGAAATGTGAATGGGGCCTTATTGCTAGTGTTTTTTATGTGCGGCCCAACACAGTTCCTCTTCTTCCAATGTGTCCCAAGAGAGTCAAAATGTTGGACACCCCGGCTGGTAACAGTGCATAGGCACCACTGCCATTGAATCGCACTCCGGCAGCCATTCAGTAGTGCATGCTGTCGGTGTAAAGTGGCCCTACTTCATAGAAAGGGGAAGGAAGCAGAGACATGGTAAACCTTGCACTGTATATACTGATGTTTAATCAGTCTGTGCCACAACTGACACACTAGTAAGTGTTTTGTTATATATAAAAATCATGTTTTCATTATCATAAACAGCCTCAATGTAATGCTTACCAGGTTGTAAAGGGAAATCACAAAGTATAAATTGTTGTTTTTATATATAATTCCTGCAAAGTGCTTTCTGAGTTTCAGAAAGTAACAAAATGATGTTAATTTTACATTTTCTACTTTAATTTGCTGCATATTGTATTATCCATATTACTGTGTCCTTAAATACTCTTGGAGAAAAAATAAAAAAGAATGTTTAAAGAAGCATTGTGCCTGGAAGATTTTATTTGATAAGCAAGCAAAGCTACTTGTTTTTTTTTTTTTTAATTAGCCATTCAGACTGTGAGATTAGTGCAGGTCATAGCTGTGTGACCTCCCTGCATGAATCAGCAGTCCTGTGAATGGAATAATCAATTGGTGCTACGTTACCAGAGTTTGCATTGTCTGGAAATGACCAATCAGTGCTGAGTTTAATTTTTCATTGAGCCGGTATTAAACTTTGCAACCAATTGACAAAACCTGGAGCTCATAAACTAGAGCAAGGGAAAGTAGAGAGGGACCCTAAAGAGACCCTGTTGTCAGACCATTCATTTCCACACACCTTTTCCCCTCTGATTATATGTGCATTTTATATATATTATATTGTAAAGTGCTGCACAAACTGTTGACACGATATAAATCCTATATAATAATAATAATCTGTAAAATCTTCCCTTGTGTAGACATTCAAAGTCCCTAAGACTTCTGGGCACAGCCATCTTGGATGTGATATCAGCACCTCCAGCACAATCTGTGCTGTCACTCAAGTGACACTCTATAGCAGTGTTTCTCAAGCCTTTTTCAGTCAAGGCACCCTTTAAAATGATGAACAGTCCCGAGGCACCCTTTAAAATGATGGACAGTCTTGAGGCACCCCATTCTAAAATGGGGTGCCTTAAGACTGTCCATCATTTTAAAAGGGCACCCCATTCTAAAATGTGAAAAACTATTCTAATAGTTTTATATAACACATCCACACATGTAGGACACCCAACATTAGAGGTGATTTACTTTTCCAAAGCCAATACACTTTTGCACACTGGTACTGACTAGTATTCCAATGTTTCTCTTCTCCCTCACTGTGCTAATGTGACCCCAGCACTGATAGAGAGGGAGGGAAAAAAACTAGGATGCTGTGCAGGCAGCTGTCATCCTCCTTATCAACTGATGATGTCATTGGTTGTCAGGATGCTGGCGGCTAGAAAGTCATAATGGTGCACAATGAAAACCTGTGGCTTTGTGTAACTAGAAGGCAGACTTGTTCCACCCGCTGGCTTGTATACAAGTTTTGGGCAATTTTTAGACATTTTGCCAAGGCACCCCTGAATAAACCTCAAGGCACCCCAAGGTGCCTGGGCACCCTGGTTGAGAAAGGCTGCTCTATAGCATGCCTAAAAGATTATGTAGGGAGGGGAGGGGTGGAGGAGCTGGAGCAGCACAGATAACAATTAGACACTCCCAGAAGAAGAGAGGGATGATGTACAAAGAAGAAGGGGATATACTGTGGTGCTGAACGTCCTGGAGAAGTAAAGTTTGCTAGCGAGTTTAAAAGCACATTGCAACTGAATTATAGAAAAGAAAGATAGATAATTTGTGGAAATAGAAAATACTGCATGTAAGCAACTAAAATATGTAATTTTGCCATGTTTTTATTTGCAATGTTTTAAGTTGCTGGCAAAGTCTTTTTATAGAAACTCTTTAGATTTAATCATATTTACATTTCTGATTAAATGTATTTATGAAGTTAAAAATGTTTATTTTCCATTTCAATGGGGCTGTGCTTGCAGTGCATGGGTTAACTGCTCGCTTTATCCAGGGGCTCGGGGCAAAGCTATACTTACCCTGTCCTCCGATCCTCCCGAAAACCATGCTCCCCCACATCTAGCGGTGGACTGTTCCTGCCGTTCTCACGTCCAGAGCTGGTAAATGGGCGTAATGACGTCAGGAACAGCCCATTCACAAGACCGCTAGCATGTAGGGGGGCAGGAGGGACCATTCTTGCACTTGGAGGATTGGCAGATTAGGTATGTATATCTACGCTTACTGAACCCCTAGAAAAAAACGAGCATTTAACCCATGCATTGCGGGCATAACCCCATTGCATGGGAAAATATATTTTTTGCCCGGTATTCTTCTTTAACCCCTTGATGCCGACCGTACGCAAATATGCGACCTCTTGGCAGCTGGGCCTTGACACCAAGCAGCTGCATATTTGCGTACCTTTTCCGATCATGTGACAGTGAATCACGGCAGTCACATGACCCTAAAACCCCGCCCCACCTCCCGGTGTCTGAAACCCCTTAAAGGGATGGAAGGCGCAGGCGTGAAGAGGCTAATATTGTTATTCTAGGTCACAATAAATAAATTCTGTTTCATTTTAGTTTTGGTTGGAGTGAGGAATGGTTAGATCCTCTGTAAGGTTTTTTTTATTGTTGTCTGTGCCCCCCTGCTAGAGAGATTTCTTAAAGCGGAGTTCCACTCGACCTATCAAAAAATAAAAGTCAGCAGCTACAAAAACTGTAGCTGCTGACTTTTAAAAAAACAGCCACTTACCTGTCCCTCGGTCCCCCGCGGTGTGTCCCCGTTTCACCGGCTGTCCTGTATTCCAGTAGGCCGGCATCTTCAGTATGGGCACCCGGCTGTGACAGCTTGCAGCTTCACAGCCAGGTACCCACTGCGCATGTGTGAGTAGCGCTGTGCTTCATGAACGGTCCTGTAGTCTTCTGAGACCTGTCACCTGTCCCAAAAGACTACAGGGAGGGAGGAGGGACAACTTCCATTTCTGACCGCCTAGGCCAGTGATGGCGAACCTATGGCACGCGTGCCAGAGCTGGCATGCAGAGCCATCTCAGTGGGCACGCCAGGAAGAAGAGGAAGAACGCGCTCTCCTGCGCACCCCCGGGGGCGCGCACCGGGCGATCTCCGTGATCACTGTGTCCTATGGACACAGCTGGTGACATGGTAAAAGGCCAATCACAGCGGCCTTTTACCACGTGATCAGCCGTGTCCAATGACACGCTGATCACCGGGAAATGCAAATGCCGGTTCTCGGCTGCACTTTCCTCATGCTGTCAGATCGTGAGGAAAGTACTGCCGAAAACCGGCAGTTGTCAGAGCAGGGAACGGCACCAATCATCAGGTTCACTGATCATCAGTGCCCTGATGATCGGTGCCCAGCAGTGCCACACACAAGTTCCTCCCACCTGTGCCCAGCAATGCACCCACCTGTGCCCTCAGCAATGCACCCACCTGTGAGCAATGCACCCACCTGTGCCACCTGTGCCACCCACCTGTGCCCAGCAATGCACCCACCTGTGCCCACCAGTGCCACCCACCTGTGCCCACCAGTGCCACCCACCAGTGCCCATCAGTGCAGCCCAGCAGTGCTGCCAGTCAGTGCCACCAGTCAGTGCCCAGCAGTTGTGCCAGTCAGTGCCCAGCAGTGCCGCCAGTCAGTGCCCAGCAGTGATGTCAGTCAGTGCCACCTATCAGTGCTGTCTATCAGTACCCATTATCAGTGTCGCCTGTCAGTGCCGCATATCAATGCCACCTATCTGTGACACCTCATTAGTGCTACCCATCAGTGCCACCCATCAATGATGTCCAGCAGTGCCGCCGGTCAGTGCCTCCAGTTGGTGCTATCAGTCAGTGCCGCTTATCAGTGCCCATCATTTCCTGCATATCAGTGCATCATCAGTGCCTCCTCATCAATGCTCACCAGTGCGGCCTCATCAGTGCTACCTATCTGTGCCGTCTCATCGATGCCCATCAGTGCTGCCTATCAGTGCAGCCTCACCAATGCACATCAAAGAAGAAATATTACCTGTTTGTAAAATTTTAGAATAGAAGCAAAGGAAACCTTTTATGTTTTTAATTTGTTGCTCTTTTTTCATTTATAGTGCAAAAAATAAAACACCCAGTGGTGATTAAATATCACCAAAAAAAGCTCTATTTGTGTGAAAAAATGATAAAAATTGCATATGGTTACAGTGTTGCATGACTGCACAATTGTCATTGTTAAGTGCAACAGCACTGAAAGCTGAAAATTGTCCTGGGAAGGAAGGGGGTAGAAGTGCCCGGTAGGCAAGTGATTAATTCCAGTGTTGGCACTTTGAAATAAAAAAGTTGGTTTTGTGTTGCAGTTTGGGCACTCGGGCTCAAAAAGGTTCGCCATCACTGGCCTAGGCGATTGGACCGGAAGTGGGAGCGAGTACCTGTCAAATTCGGGTACCCGCTCCCCCCCACCCCCCATAGGTGCCAATCCTTAATGGGGAGCGGGGGAGCAGTCCTTAAAGCGAAACTTCCCCAATTGGGTGGAGCTCCGCTTTAATACATTCTGTCCAGGTGACACAAATTAAGTCACTTAAGCAGTGATACAGAAAGCAACAAAATCTAAACGAAGTTATTTCCCTTTTCTACTCGACCAATAAAAGTGTTTTTACTGCTGCATGTGTTCTCACTGGAGATATTCTGCTTAGTTCCTACCTTGGTGACAAAACAGGAAGAGGGCAAAATCTGGCTACAGTTCTGCTTTAAAGATTTTTTTTTTATGGGTGAGGCTGGCCATACATTATACAATTGTCTTGAGATTTTTGCTTTAGATTGACCAAAAACCATATAATATGAGGTCAAACCTAAACAACACTTTTAATTGTATCCAATTAGGCAGGCCCTTACACTAAATAGTTGAAGGTAAATCTAAAGGAAAGTGAGCAGAAATTGGACAGAAAATTGTATAGTGTATGGCCAACCTAACAGCTTAAATTTTCTGTAATTTTCTAGTCACCTCTAACGCGATTGAAACACAGATAGTTATCACAATACATTTTACACATTTTTGGTACCCTAGATATAAGGAGCTTTCAAAATGATGTACGTTTTCCACCTGGCAGTACTAGGGTCGTTGCCTTGAATCCCAGCCACGGCAAGAACCTGCCTGGAGTTTGCACGTTCTCCCTGTGCCTGTGTGGGTTTCCTCCAGGTACTCCAGTTTCCTCCCACGCTCCAAAGACATGCTGGTTGGTTAATTGGCTCCTGTCTAAATTGTCCCTAGTATGTGTATGTATGTTAGGAACCTTAGATTGTACATCTCTTGAGGGTTAGGGCTCATGTACACAGAGCATTTGGAAAACTCTTCTAAATGATGGAAACTGCTGGAAAACGTAGGTTAAAAAACGTCAGTTTAGACGTGTTTGCATACCGTGTTTATGCACGTTTGCATTTAGAAGCGTTTTTACCTCAGGAGACCTTCCCAAATGCCCAGAATGCACTGAAAAATAGTAAATAATTAACTATTTTAGACATTTTGAGAGGAATAGAGAGAGAGCAGAAGCAGAGAGAGCAGTATGTGTTGAGATGACCTCTCTTTTCTGGTTGTATTCACTATGGATCCTATCCAGGGGCAGACTGACAACTCATGGGGCCCGCAGGCAATAGGGGATCATGGGGCCCTGTGTCCTTGCCCAAACGTAAAAAATCCTATGAAAAAGGTACCAGGGGCATCTCATGGGGCCCCCTACTAACCCCGGGCCCTCAGGCAGTGCCCAAGTTTCCAAATGGTCAGTCCGCCCCTGATCCCATCATGAGCATAATGCAGCAGTTTCTACCATTTTTTCCTTCACACGAAACCTGGAACTGACTGCGCTGGTGTACCAGGTCCATTTGAATACATGGAAAACGCTTTGCATGCATTTCTGATGATGAAAAAAGGCTCTGGACAGCATCTGGATATGGAACAGTTAAAAAAAGCTTTTAAATGCAAACACTTATAGACACGGTTAATCGCATTTACAAGCGTTTGGCGTTTGAAACGCTGGTAAAATCTACTCCTGAATGCAAGTTTGGTGTGTTCAAAAAAACAACTGTAAACTCAACTGCCTGTAAACGACGATGTGTACATGGATACATAGGAAAACATTAGGGAGAGTTCAGGGGCTGCTGAAAAACAAACGCTCAACAGCTCCTGAACGTCAATTTAGCAGCTGCAGTGTACATGGGCTCTAGGGACTGATGTGAATGTACAATATATATGTAAAGCGCTGCGTAAATATACGGCGCTATATAAGTACCTGAAATAAAATAAAAATAAAATAAATACACACATTTGCTTTAAACCTTAAGACTCCATGCACACTAGCGTTTTTTTTACGCTCCTAGAAGCTATTATTAGCATTTTTTTCTGCTCCTAGAAGCTAAACAGTGTTATCCTGTGTGTCCATGCACACTACTTTAGGCTATTAGTATTTTTTGAGCTTCAGCTTCTAGGAGCAGGAAAAAAATTGTTTTTGTAGAGTTTTTTTTAGCGTTTTTCCAGCAGAAAAAAAACACTAAATGCTTCTAAACGCTACTAAAACACTGGTAACAGCTTTTTTCTAGCTTTCTTTTTTTTCTACATTTAGTCTAAAAATGCTAATAAAATGCTAACGCTCCTAAACACTTCTAAACGCTACTA